CGGAGGACTACGACAATGACAAGTTTCTGCATGGAAAATAGCTAGTCTGAGATAGGGTAGGGGTTTTGGTACCTAGTCTAGAATAGGGTTGCAAAATTAAGCTGAGCATGGTCTAGTATGAGGTAATGGTTTCGATATTCCTTCGATAAGCTCTTTTTGTGGTGCACCTTTCGTGATCAAGACGGTGAAACATCAAACCTGTTTCTCATTGGCAGGAACGACCTGTATGCGAGAGCTGTTATGGCAGATTCACAACGACGGCGCTATCAGCGAAGAAAATATTGGAAGTCGAGTTTTCTGGTTCGAAAATCATCCTGTACTGCGCAAGCGTGAACCTGAAAATCCTGAGTCGTCACCAGACTCCAAGCCCGTCATCGAGCTTCTCCCCAGTCCCCGTCTGTTGTCCACACATCTGCCTTATGAGGTGATTCCCAAAGGCAAAGACGACACCACGACTTGCAAGTACATTTACATCGCAAGGAATCCTAAAGATGCTGCAGTTTCCATCTACCACTTCTTGTTATTTTTTCCTGAAATGGGCGAGTTCACGTGGGACCTAGGCGTAAAGTTATTTCTCCAAGGAAGACGTGAGTGCTTGCTGCGTTAATTTTATGATTTAACCCTAGCACCGTATGAATAGCCAGCCATCTGGGGAGCTCACCTAGTTTGTGGCAACTATCTCACGAGATACCAAAATCACGCTACTTGCGCGTTCTATTGATGCTCTTCGAATCTGATTGGCATACCCATTGTTGTCAAAATCCCTCGCGCGGCTTGTAAAAGGGGATTGAAATTATTCCTAGTACCTGATTTAGAGCATTTATCGATTGAGTGTCATAAAACCAAAACCAAAGTAATTATTTTAGCCAGTCACAAAGGACAACAGACAACAGACAATGAACCAATGAATACTCGAAGTAAATAAGCGCGGGCAAAACGCGGTGTGCGAGCGAATCAGGATTAGGTCTGGTTTTACCTCTGATTGGATAAATAAGTGGCGCGAGTGTTCTAAGCCAATTACTTTTCGACACTCAAGTGAGAAATGCTGTAAGCATACATGGGATTTATAGGTCTAAAGCTGTAATTACTGCAATGTAAATTATCTTAAGGATTCATACATAGGGCTCGACCCAGGTAATAACCCACGCGGAAATGTTGGGAGAACACGAGAAAAGCATGTAAATAACGAGCCGTCAGGCGAGTGATTTGTTAGTATTTTACTCAAAATGCTAACAATTTGAACTGCATATTATATATGATCAATCAGGAAAAAAGCAAATCGCAAATAAATTCGATGAATACAATTTTACCTGGTATTTTTTCTTGGTGTTTCTTCGCAGTCTTTTAAGGGATGTTAGTTTAGTTACTCAGGTAAGTAAAACGAAGAAAGGTTATTCAAGAAATAACAACAGGAACGAAAGGGAATTAGAGAATTGCGAATTCTGTGTAGTACAGACTAGATGAATGAAACAAAATCGTTCAAATTGCAATAAAAAGGCATGCAATAACACAAAGCGACTTTTAGCGGCTTGCCCAGCGATATGATTGGTCGATCGACGTATTACTGGCAAACCTTGGCGAGGCCGTTTACTATCCGGACTTCGAGTCCTGTGTATGTGTTGGTATTCCTGTGTATGTGTTGGTATTCCTGTGTATGTCGGTTGTCCTGTGCTCTAGATGGTATAAGCCGCATATATTAATAAAACGTTTACATGGAGCAGGAGTGCTATTTGCCGGACGTATTTCCAGTTAAATTTACCGCACAATTGCATCTCGAATCGATCTGTTGTTGATTCGAATCAACAACTGGAGAGCCTTAGTCAGGCAGCACAAATGCAGTCCTGTGTATGTGTTGATTGTCTTGTGCTATAAAAAGTATCAACCGCGTACATTTATAAAGCTTTCTCATAGGACTTCTCTGCTCAATGTGCTTCGCCCTCCGCCCGGGGGTGGGGTGGTGGGTACTCCGAGAAAAATTGGTTGAGGTGTGCGGCCCGCTTCCCAAAACCCTTACCCTATTTATGACCAAAATCTGCGATTTTCAATGTCCTATTTGTGACCTGACACTAAATCAATACCCTCTTTCAGACCTGCCTTATACTTAGTTCAGACTGATGTTAAAGGCATTGTAAAGGGCTTTTGTTGATGGTCTTATCAATAATAATGAAAAGGTAGCTTCTTCTAAAAAAAACATATTATATTCAATTCAAGATTAGAGAGCAAAAACCAGACCCTATTAATGATCAAAATGGTTAAACTCGATACCCTATTTATGACCAAAACGGCTGAAAAACCATATCCTTTGGGGTCGTACATAGCTATATAGCCCATATAAGGGAGTACCCCGCGGGGGTGCTGCGCCATTGTAACGAACGTTTCTAAGGAACATATGAAACAATTAACGATGATATTATCCACAGCGTGTATAATTAGCTCTTATTAACCGAGCAGGAGGTCTGTATGGGAGAATCTTGACCGAGGTCGTGAGTACAGACCGAACGCAGTGAGGTCTGTACACATGACCGAGGTCAAGATTCTCCCATACAGACAGACTAAGCTCGGTTAATTATTGGGTAGTCAGAAAAAACATATTGAAAATTAGGCCAAGCCCAGTGAAATACCAGGTTCTGATTCAGTTGGTGGTACTAATAAATCTTGTGACTTACACGCTGCGAATTTGCAAATCAAGGACATGACTCTAGCTTTCGCATACAAATAGTGTTGGGGGTGGGGGTGGGGTGGGGGATACAGTTACTTCACTTGACTAAGTTTTCTATTTAATTTTAATCTGAACACAGCTTCAATGTAAATCAATGTTAAACTGTTTGAATCTGTAACTAGCAAGGTAGTTTTCAAGAAAACGTTCATTCGTTAAATACACAAAATTCTTCATCAAAATAAACTTCTTCTAAATTGTCGAATTCCAGTCCTTGTGCTCTCGCCTTCACGAGAAACTCTGTTTCGAATTTTTCATTTATCCTGCTTGTAAGTGGTTCTTCAGGTCGCCCACTTCGCCCTTCCGTAAATAAATGATTGCGTCCACTTGCCACACTTGAAAGCTAGCCGGGTGTTCAGCCATCTCGTTAAACAAGCATTGGTGTGCAATCCATTGCATCGAATGAACACTAGTTATGCAAATGTGTCGAACTAGACTCTTACTTTACGCAGCGGTTTTACGTCGTCACGAAACGCGGAGGCGTCACGCAACGGTCCTTTCGCTTTGGATGATGACCCGAATATAGCAGGCTGTACAGGAGACGAGCGTCCAGTCAAGTAACTAATCAATGATCAGTGACATCAATCAGTAATCGCTGGGCAATCAATAAGTAGACGACTGATTAGTAATGATCAAGGGGTATGCAACTTTGCTAGCAGGATACAACTCTTTTTGCACAGGTTGGTGCTCGTACTGCAAATTTCAAATGACAATTCAACCCGCGCGATTTTTCTAAAGGGTGAAGTTTTTTAAATAGTAAAACGAAAAATCATCGGAAACCTTTATTTGATGCGAATTTTTGCTAGACTGCTACTAAAACAATTAGATGACCCACTCTGAATTTCTATGACAGCTCATGAGGTGATAGGTCATGCATGATTAGAAATCTCGAGCTCATTTACATGCTTGTCTGAGTCATTAAGCGACCCATGTCTGTCTGGTATTGGACACAAACAACCCAGCTGAAGTTAAAACTTATGCGAGATTCACCGACCAGAAACAAACAGCACTCTTTTGCATTCTCCTAAGACATGGCAACTTTTCAAACTGTCCGGGAAACAGAGGGAGGTTGGACTAGCCCTGAAATGGCTATTATACACGGTGTGAGAATCTCGGCGGCTCTTGTAGATCCAAACTTAAACGAAGATCTGGAACATTTTCAAACGAGAAAGGACGATGTGTTTGTCGCTAGTTACCCGAAATCAGGTAAATAAATAATTTGGAATTAGACTCACGAAAACCAAGAAACATAAACGACTAGTCGAGGTACAATCTATCGAAAGTTCATCGAACTTACCGATTATTTTGACTGTGATCGGACTTTGAGTTAAGCCACCAGCGGTGCACGGAACTGTTTTAAAAACAGACGTGGTACTTGAAAAAGACAAGGCAAGGCAATATTTCGTATTCGTACATACGAAAATATTTTCATTGCAATAATGAAGGGCGCAAAAACATCATCGACAATCCTATTGCGATGCGTTAGACTGCGAGCTTGGTTTCGCGTGACCGGATTGTGGTTGAGTTGGTTACGTAACTACTCGACGATTGAGCGACCTAATTTCCCCCGGGGATAGGGGGTAGTCCCAGAAAAATTGGATTGGGGTAGACGGCCCGATTCCCGAAACTCTCATACATAAACTTTACTTCCTCTCAAATTTTAAGTAGCTAAAATTAGCTAATATCTTCGAAAACATAACTATAATCTCTTGATATAACAAAATACAATACTAATACAATACAATACAATACAATACAATACAATACAATACAATACAATACAATACAATACAATACAATACAATAAAACTAGAGACAATTTGCGATGCTACTGAAAAGAGTCATATTGTAATATCTTTCGCTTAATTCAAGTCCGCAAAAAGGGAAGTTCTAAGTGAGCACGGAAGAGAGTTCCATAATTTAGCAGCTAAATATGAAAAGGAATGCAGGCCGAAAGTTGGTCAGCTGTTTTTGGATCAGGAAGAGACAATATAATTACCGCGTAAATTATAGGTTGCTGAGCGCAGAGCAAACATATTACTTAAATATCTTGGAAAGTTATTGAAAAAGGGACTCTTATATAGTAGAACTGAAAAATTTGAAGGCGTCTAATATGCAAAGGTTTTAAATTAATTTTATCCAGTAAATCACCATAGGGCGAGTTATAGTCCTTAAGTATGACTCTAAGAATGCGCTTGTTGTGAATGTCCATTTTTTTCAGCATTACGCGCACCACAAAAATGCCATACGGACGACCAGTAATTGAAGTGTGGCAAGATAAAAGCCTTATACAATCTTAAGAGGGTGTCTCTAAAAATAAGATTACGAAATCTAAGCATTACGTTATACTGGTTCGTTATCTTCTGGCAGGTAGTAAATATATGAATTATCAAAAGAAAGCTTATCATCTATATTCATTCCAAAAATATCTATAGATTTTTTTTTTAATGGAAACGAAAATTTGTGTTCAGTTTTTCCCAGGACCATAGCCTGGTGTTTAGTCTCATTTACTCTATCCCGTTTATGACCAAATTCTGCTATTTCCCGTACACTAGTTTACGACCTGAAACAGTCGCCTCTTCTAAAAGACATACACAGTTCAAGACTAGAGTACAAAAGACCATAGTTCATCGAGTGTCGCCAGGTAGGAATATAGTTGTGCTATTTAGACCAAATATGTTGTCCCTCGAATTCTCGAATTCACGAGTTATGTATTAGAAGGGGCCAAAGAAACTTAGGTATTTTCCTCATTTTGTTAGCTGTGAAGAAAAGGACTGTTATCGCCTCGTTTTGGTAAGATAGTTCGGTTTTGATTGCCGCTCGTACCGGCGCTTCGCACCGGCGCTTCGCACCGGCGCTTCGCACCGGCGCTTCAAGAGAACTGACAGATCAAACCGTTTTTTGTATTAATAGGTACAACCTGGGTCCGGGAACTGCTGTGGCAAATTTATAACGACGGCGCAATCAGCGATGTCCATCTTGGAAGTCGTGTTTTCTGGCTCGAGGCACACCCTTTACTGCGCAAACGTCAATCTGGGCGCTCCGAGTCGTCACCAGACTCCAAACCCGTCATTGACCTTCTCCCTAGTCCCCGTCTGTTGGTTTCACATCTGCCTTATGACGTGATTCCTAAAGGCAAAGACGACACCACGACGTGCAAGTACATTTACATCGCAAGGAATCCTAAAGACGTTGCAGTTTCTCTTTACCACTTCTTGTTGTCGTTTCATTCTGATTCTGGGTTGACATGGGATGCAATTGCGAAATTGTTTCTCCAGGGAAAACGTGAGTGCTAAACTTATCTTATTATTTTTAAATCCCAAGTATGGGGAATTGTAGTCTGTTGAAAAACTTTCTTCTTTCTTTGCTAGAAGTTATTTCTCTTCGGGGCCGCGAAGCGGGCGCAAAAAGATTAAACCTCTCCGGAAAAAAGGGCGTTCTTTAGTCTCCTCCCCTATGTTATCATCAACTCCGCCCTCGCTCTCTAAATTAAATCGAGCAACAGCTGAAAGGATCAAAATGCAAAAAAAAGAAAAAAAAAAGCAAACAAGAGGGGAAAGCGAAACCATCTCCCTTGTGTAGGCTGTGAAGCTGTTATTTTCTGTCTATATTACTTTTTGGAAAGCGCCTTATATCTCAACGGATAATTTATTAGCAGGACGTGACAGCGTCACGTGACACACTGCTGTGACACACTTGAAGATTCGTGACTCCTTTTAGCCTGTACAAAACACGTAGGGCTTCTACTCTTCATGAGGTGTTCCGCAAAATACGTGTACTACGTATTACACTAGCTGAGAGAGCCGTGTTTGTTGTGTTACTAAGATATACTTATTTGCTACGTTTTCTAAACCTTTTTGTTTAGTTGTTCTTTAATTATTTCACAGTTTATTACAATTTGTGGTCTGACCATGTTCTGGCATGGTGGAAGCACAGGGACAATCCTAACGTGTTGTTTCTAAAGTATGAAGACTTGAAAAAGGTATGTCACGTGACAGCTGAACACTTTACTGTTTGACAGACGATTGGACACATACCGCGACAAAATAGAAAAGGTTTCGAATAACAAAAACATCCCGAACACTTCTTGAGCTATTTTTTCCGGGGGAAGGACTTCCATATTAAAAGGAGGGGGGTGTTTGTCGTACATTTTAGGGGCTAAAACAGCGGTTTTGGTACTTCTTCGCACGTTATCAAGTTCAACCTCAAAAGGTCCACATCAGGAGCTTTCGCCGTACGTTTTTAGGGTATTGAGCCGAAAAATATGCCAGAAGATATTTGAGAATCAACTGCTAATTTATCGCGATTACAAATATGAAGGTATCAGGTAATGTGTAGTTTTAGAATTGGCACTTCTTAACGGTAAAAAAAAAAAAGAAAAACTGCAAGCCACGTCCACAAAACTGTATCTTAGTATCTCTTAGGAGATCTTTTCAAAATTTGCGACAAGCACCCCCATCCTTTTTAAATGGGAGTCCCCTCGCCCGAGCTTTTGTTTTTGTCGATGACTGAGAACCTGTGCAAGCAAATCGGAATTTGTTTATTGGTTATTCAAGGTTAACTTTCAAAGCTTTTAAGTATAAAGTCTGTGTCGTGTCTAGTGGTCCAGAGAGCAGACGTTCATCCCGGTTTCCGTTGTTTTAAGCGACTAGGAGTATTTCTACTGAATGGAATTTCCCTGAATGGAATGCGGGTCCTTCGCTGGGTTGCCCCTGATAAACTATTTTTGTCGCGTACTGTAAAACGCGACCGGCCGTACGTGACTGAACTCATAGTAGCTTTTAAATTATAGGAAAAACGGAGACAGTTTTCGGAAAACTACATCCTATAGAACGCTACAATAAATTGTCTTAGTTTTCATTGTTCAGCCTTTGATATAATTAATTGAAACAAGATTTATTTGTTTCTTTTGAAGGACTTGTTCTCCAGTGTCAGAGCTGTTGCTGAATTTCTCAACAAACCTTTGTCAGAAGAAGTCATGCGACGGATTGCACACCAATGCTCGTTTAAGGGGATGGCTAAAAGCCCAGCAAGCTTTCAAGTGTTTCCAAACGTGGATGCGATCAGTTTCTTAAGGAAGGGTGAGGTCGGCGACTGGAAAAACCACTTTACAGCAGAATTGAACGAAAAATTCGAAACAGAGTTTCTTGCAAAGGCGAGAGAGCATGGGCTTGAATTTGAATAGTCCACCAAGATAGTGTAACGCCACACATTTGGTGCAAAATAAAGTTATATCAAAATAATGCTTGTAAAAAGCACTGAAAACAGGAGTTAACTGTTAAAACGTTTTGATTGATTGTACAGGGCGAAACAAAATGTACACAGAATGTTTGTTTGAGAGTCAAATCTTGTTTTTGTAAAATAGTAAGAACTGTGGGCATCAATGCTATAACATAGTACCAGATTATGGCTCCTGATAGTACCTCAAAAGGGTGTGGTACGTTGATTGCAAAAGCAAACACTTAACATAAAACCTTAAAAAATATTTTTTTTCTTAATGAGTTCAATCGCATGTGATTGATATTTTTCACCATATTTCAACAAACTTTTTGGTCCTCTTTTGGGCATCCGTCCACTTTTATGCAACCTTGAATACGTCGTTGAATGCTCTTTGTTGTTTAGATGTATTTTCAATCAAAGTTTCTTGCAATTTTTCCATTTTTGCAAGCAGCGTGATTTTACTAAATCTCCAACCTGAACGAGAGAAATTCTCTCGTCTACATACAGAGCGTAAGAGATTCTTTGTCTCTAATTTAGGATCAATTCAGATTTAGAACAGTGTAGCATTTCGTTTCGCAAGAGATATAACATCACTCAACCCATAGCATTTAGCCTTTGAAATCTGAGCATAAGTCCATAGAGGGAAAGGAATATATAAACTTAAAATAAGGGCTACAATCAATTCAAACTCTAAATTCCCTCAAAACCGCATATTTATTAATTTTTCAGCCGTTTTCCACGAAAAGTAAAGCAATGTGACAAATGTTGTATATTTCTATTTAGTTCAAATTAACATGCATGATACTAACATGTTACCGCTAATAAAACCAATCACTCCTAGAAGAAGTTTTATTTGCAAATACATGCCTTGTGTGAGCACCTTATCCCTTAAAACCCTTGAGCAATCATTGTCCTTATGCCAAACTTAACGAAAACTGAACTTTTAACGAACAAAAATATTTCCGTGTGGATTAGCCACACCTTTCAACTGATTTTGTTGGTTTTTTCCACATGGATCATGGGTAGGCCAATCATTACCAGCATTACCATCAAAGTAATAGTAGAGGCTGCTGCTAGAGAGATATGGTCCGTTGGAGTACAGCGTCAACAATTTTGGCACCACACCAGCACACAGCTTGGAAACCTGTTTAACCAGTTTACAAGCGATTGATCCCGCCTTCTCTTGCACCAAGCTGCCAGTACCTTCCTTGCATGCGATCCAGTTGTTGATGTTGCTCTTGATCAGGAATTCTTTACCAATGGTGCGCCACAAGGAAAAGTTCGTGGCCGCGTAATCTGTCTCACTCAAAGGAACTATTGTGGACACTGGAGTGGTAGCTGAACTGGCTGACCAGCTTGGACGCGGCGTGACAGCGTTTGCACTACTCGCGAAACTCGAGTAAGCTGTGAAGGTGTAGCTCCATACTAGTGTCCAGCCCCCACCGTCCGTCTGTTGATCGCAGTAGGCCTCGAATGCGTTACCATGGGAACCACCATCTGGATCTATCCAATAGACGCCTGACACGAGTGATGGCGCTTTCTGTTTCAGGTCCTTGCAATTCAAGGCTGGGTTTAATTTGCTTTGTCCTGTATTCAAAGCCGATAAGAAATGAATGAATGAGTGAATGAATAAATAAGCACTTAATGACTGGCCTCAAGGGAAACAGTGAGTTTTGTTTCCCCGAGACCCTCAATGTCGAGAGGAAACAAAACTCACCGTTTCCCGAGGGGCCAGTCATTAAGTGTTTTGTTATACCTCCTGACTCAAAAATAGGAAAAAAAAAAAAAAAAAAAACGACGAAAAAATGATTTGCCTGACGCCTAACGCCGGTGACTGTGCTTGCTGTACGAGTGGCAGTCAAACCGACCTGTCCAACCGAAACGACACGATAACAGTCTTTTTCTTCGCTGCTAACAAAAATAAAGACAATATTTAAGTTGCTTTGTCTTCTTCTAATGCTTAATTCTGGGTTTGATTTAACGAGGAACAGCATATTTTGTTGTAAATGACACGACTATTTTCCTACCTGGCGAGTGGCGACAGCGATCGAAGAGCGAGTTGCCGAACGCGGGCGACCCATTTTTGGTGCCAAATTAAAAGCTTGAAGACACAAAATGTTCAAATTTTTCCCTTTGTTAATCTGATATGTTTTTGCCGAATTATAAATCCCTTTTCTTGAATAATGAATGTATTTTCTAGTGAGAAACGTTACATCAGGCCGACTGACACACAAATTTGCCGCCGTTTCAAGGTGCACGGCTTGATCACGTGCGAGTCGAAAGTTCAAGCTGTTGTTTCCCTAGGGAGTTAGTGAGTTTTGACCAATGGCACGTGACACGTTCTCCTCCAATCGGAAAACGTATTTGAGTTGGAAGGTGTAACGATGAACTTTATTTAAGTGTCAGAGTGTTTAGTTTGATATTGACTAATTGTTGACACTAAAAGAACATTCCAAATACAAAACAAAAAAAATAAAAATAGGGATGCTACGAATGTTAAAAATCTGTTTTAAAATCGTTTAAAATTTAAAATTGTGAGGGTTTTTGTTTTGATATTTACGAATTTAAAAAGCCTTAAATTTACTTCTTAATTTTACAGGATTTCTGTTACAAACTAGATCTGTTACAAGTACTGTCGTCACCATACTTTAACATTCCCAAAAATGACCTCCGTCTCCGCCGTCACGGTATATCGCCAAGATCTCAGTCAGAAAAGCACTCAGAGATAAATGATTAAGCCTTCCTGCAGGTGACCCACAGAAAAAATCTAACAATAATAACCTCAAGGCTTATTTAAGCTGTTACGGGTATCGTTGTAGAGCAGGGTTGTTTCCAGACAGAACTCAGAATCGCCGGTAACAGCAACAAACTAATTTATTTCCGTAAGATAACCTCACGAATTTTCAGCACTAAGCTTCTTCAAATTTGAATCAATCTTTCTTACAGCAGAACCTCTCGCTCTAATATACATGAGGCTTAAAGTTCTAGAAACTTCTATTTGGAACTAAATTAAGTAGTTTGACACAGTTTCTAATCTGAGAAATTACATAAGGATTAGAATGTTCTGGAATGTTCTTATACAAATTGGTCACGGCTGAATGACTTCAGGTTCTAGATTGTTCTAGAACTAGACTTAGACAATTTTTTCGTAACATGATCGTAACTTAATAGTATATACATTCTACTTCGTAAAGAATACAGAAAGATCACTTCAAGAGTAAGTTGCTTGCATTGAAAATCACATTCATGCCATGAAAAGAGTTTTATCAATGAATTACCTATTGTATTCGGTCCGTCGCTCGGCTCTGCGAGCTGATAAGATCCATTGATCAGTCGCTTGATAATCTCGTTCTTGCAGAGTAGTGCAAACTTGTAGAGGTAAAGATTGCCTTTTTCATCTATGTCCAACACACACATTTTGTTCCTCTTTTGCTCCAGACCCCTGATGGTTTTAAAAGACAACACACTATAATGTAATAATAGTTCCTCTTTGGGCTTCAAACGATTTTGAGATTATCTAAGACTGAAGGAGGTATGCCCGGCTGAAAAACGGAGTTTTACAGAGCAATGAAATTCCTTTAAAAGAGTAGGACTTGGGAATTAAGTCAACATCTTACTTCTGTTACGACTGTGGTTATGATTCTGAATGTGGCCGTTTTGAAATAAAATATTAAGTATTTTTAACACGTTTTCCCTTCGAAAAGTACGTATAGGGCAGAGAATTAAAAGTTAAAGGTTAAAATTAAAATCACAAATGCGTGGCTTCAGGAATACCAGTGGGACATTTTTAAGCGTAACCCTACAAGAATTGAATTCGGGTCTACCGCAAAAGGAGTCTAGCTAGAAAGGAACTTCAAGCCACTGTCAATATCGACGTTTTCGTTTACAAACGACATCATGTATTAATTTGTTGGAGTTGTCTAGTAAAGCGGTTAAAATGATGAAGTTTCACGAAAATCACATTTCAAACGAATTAGATTATTATAAAGCTATCTGATTTATGTTACCTTATTGTTAGAGCACTGCTGGAGAGTAACACCAAAGCGAAACTAACGTGGAAGAACATTTTGGAGATGCGTTGAAGCAGTATAAAACTTCAAGAAGTTCGATTGATTGACTCAACGCGAAAAGTCTCTGCTCAGCACAGATGCAAAACTAAAAAAGCAAGGAAGTATGAATATTTAGAAAAAACCCTAAAACGTATCACAGAATAGAAAATTAAAAGGGAAGAAACCAGAGCTTGTTAAATACTTACTGCTCCTCGTTCAAAACGGAATGGGCCTCTTGTTGAAGAGCCGCTTAATCTCATACGTGTGATGATTTGTTTAGGCCGATACTGGATTTATCCAATGGAATATCGAAATTCAATATCTTCATTAATTAGTGTAAATGGGCATGGTACGTTTTGTTTTCTTAGCAAAGCACAATTGATTAAAATTGCTTTTAAGTTTGATTCGGCCTGATTCAACAAAAATGACACAGCAGAATTCAGATCCAATAAGTAGTGATGTTATAATTTCATTCTTTAAAAAAAATTAACCGTAGAATTTTTTTTTTGTAGAAAAGAAATTTGTTAACAAATGATTTTTTTTGTAGAATTTAGTGCGCAAACATGAACGATTATTGACGATAAATTTAGAGGAAAGGAAAATGAAATGATCTTTGCCCCTTGTGGAAAACTTAGCTGTGATAACTTTGACAATTAAAAAAATAAACTTTCAGAACATGACGCCTGTGCAAGTTTATAAATCTAGATAAACCCTGTGTAAATGCTTTTAACGATGAGTTTAAGAACAGGCTGTGTTTATCAACCTGAGTTAAAACTATCTTATTTTATTATCTTTGCCCGGCTTTATGATACAAAAAAAAAAAAAAAAAAAAAAAAAAAAATT